TTCTTGAGTTTGGATACTTTTTTAAGTTATTCATTTTTATATTCATATCATCTATAATGAAGTAAGTTTACCATAATTTGAATGAATGAAGGAAATGACAGCTTTAAATGCTACAGAAAATTCAAACAAGACAAGAATGCAAATAACTAAATATGGTTTCTGTAACTAGGAAATTATCAGCATCTTTAGTGAGTTCAGCTATGCTTCAATATATATTATAGTATTTGAGATGTTTTGAAGGTCAGCAATGAATTGTGATTCAATCGAAAAAAACAGAATTTTGAGGCAAAAATCATCAGGATGAGAGAGGTGTTTAAGAAGTATTCCATATGTCCATTATGTTCTAGTTAACATTAAGGTGGGTGATAATGTCACAGAAAAAGCATCTTTTCTGCACTGATCATTTATTTTTGTTATTTTGTGTTATTAACTTTATCAGATGAGCAAAAACTAGGAATAACAAGTCCATTATTTCCTGGGCGTGGCTCGTAATATAACTGGGTGGTATATGTTCATACTTCTAGAGAGTGAGAACTCATTAGGCAGTGTCACATCACCACCAAAGGACAAAATGTTTTTGTTTGAGGGAGCTTTAGTAGATTTGAACCTTCGAAAATGTCATTTGTTGGTATGGAGCAGCCCTAACCCACTCCTTTTAGAAACATGGCACTTAGCTTGGGGAATTTACCCATCCTGTCTGTGGAAGTTTTCCAGCTTTTTGATATACAAGATGAAAAAAGGCCCCTGGAGTATGAATTATCTAAGTGGGAAGTGTCAAAATGTGCTCCATTTCAAGTATGCCCGAGGTATCCTTTTCACAAATTTTAGATACTGGTACATTTTATTCATGAAGGGCTTCTCACCAAAATGCTTGGAGCATAGCATGTGAGTGATAAAAATGTTGGCGATATAATGGAAAGATTTTGAATTCTATACAAGGAGCAACTTTTTTGAAGAATTCTCCATTTACATGCCTCTGTGTTTTTAAAATAACAAATGAATTATAAGCAGAAATGCCCATTGAACAATTCTATCTCTCACTTAGATAATCTTGTTAACATGTTTTCTATAGAACAACTTTTATTACTCTAGAGTGAGTAGAGATGTATTTCTTGGGAATGTAATTAAATCAAAATGAGATAAAATTATAAGTAGTCTTAAAGTAACAATACTTTTTCATGCTAATTAAAGCAACTTTGGACTAGAAATAAAATTGCAGGTCACTAGGAATTTATATACTGTATATAATACATATATGTAATAGAATTCTATCATGTTTAAACTATCTGATGATAGCCCCTTGCAACTGAAAAATAATTTATTCATAAATGTATTCATTCAGCAGGTATTAATTGAGTGAGTTCTTTGTGGTAGGCACTGTTCTGTCTACAATGATTATAATACAAAGTAAGACAAAGTTGTTATCTTCAAAGAATTTATATTTGAAGTAAAAAATACATAAACAAATGGATGTAGTGTATATATAATGTCAGATAGTGAAAAGTACTGTGGACAAAAAGGAAGCCTTGTTAGGTGATAGATGTTAACAGATGAAGGGTGTGGCTACAAAATCACTTTATCACCCACATCATTTAAAACATGCAGCATTTCCAGTGCTGAGTCAAACAATTGAAACATACTGGGGCCAGCTTTGTGCTGCAGAGGTTTAAGCTGCAGCCTGTTATGCTGGCATCCCATACAAGAACTGGGTTGAGTCCCAGCTGCTCCACTTCAGATCCAGCTCCCTGCTAATGTGCCTGGGAAAGCAGTGGAAGATGGACCAAGTGCTTGGGCCCCTGCCCACCCACATGGGAGATTTGGATGAAGCTCCTGGCTTCAGCCTGGCCCAGCCTTGGCCATTGCAGCCATTTGGGGAATGACCTCTCTCTCTGACTCTAACCCTTCCTCTCAAATAAACAAATCTTTTAAAAGAACATTGAGGAGAAAGATAATCTCATCTTATATTTCCAACACAAAAATGTAATCCATTTGAAGACTGTCATTAGTTAAAAGTTAAATATGAAGTGTTTTAGAATAGTGGCTAAAAGAATACCTTGTTTCAAAGATGTTTAGACTTATTTCTTAGACGTACAACTTTCTAGAAGAGTAAAAATTTTTACTTTATCATGTCTCAATTTCATTATCTGTAAAATAAGTATTACAATAGTGTTTATTTTGCAGCTTTTTGGCAGTAGTACATGAACATGAACATAAAATCTGAATCAAATAGCCTGATATTACTATGTTTTAATCTTTTGATTTAGAATTCATAATGGTGTTTCTCCTCTTATATTCTCCTATTCATTTTTATATAACCTAAGTAGTCATGAACATAAATTCTTATCAAATCACCATGCAAATGAATTAGAAATGTCTTTATATTTTCTTAGTGTACATCTCAGTTCACATTCATGTCCTAAACAGAATGTGAATCTACATTTCCTTCTTTTCTTCTAGTTAAGAGGATGGTGAAATCAGTAAGAGAAAGTTTTCTGTTATAGATTTTATGACACACTGCACAAAGTGAAGAAAAAATTACATTGTTGATATGCTGTAGTGTTGGCATGTTGAAGCAACAGAACCTAATTAAGAGTTCTAAAGTACATCCTAAAATTGTCCTGGGAAAATGTCATTATTAGAAATGGTTCATCAAAGTCTCGACGAAGAAAGGCAGTCAGTCTTAGAAAATAAGATTTGTAATTTTTGTCTACTATATAACAAGGAGTTTCCATTATTTTAAACTTCTAGTATTTCCTTAGGGGTAATACAGTTTTCAAGAAGAGTTCTTTAAAAATTTTATTTACTCCTTTGAAAGTCAAAGTTGAGGGAGAGAGAGAGAGAGAGAGAGACAGACAGACACTAAGAAATCTTCTATCAGCTCATTCATTCCTCAGATGGCCACAATGGCCCGGGGTTGGGCCAGATCAAAACTAAAAGCCAGGAGTTTCATCCAGATCTCCCACGCTGGTGACAGGGACCCAAATACTTGGGTCATCTTCCTCTACTTTCCCAGGCCATCAGCAGGGAGCTGGATCAGAAGTGGAGTAGCCAGGAATTGAATCAGTACCCGTATGGGATGCTGGCACTGCAGACGTCTGCTTTACCTGCTCCGCCACAATGCTGGTCCCTCAAGAAGAATTTCAAGTCATAAAGGTATAAATACAGTACACAGGTTAATCAACGTGATAGCAATGAAAGAAATTCTCAAAACTGTCTAGGTTCTCTCAATATTTTACTAAAAATATTTATTTTAAAACTCAAATTTAATTATATTTTATGAAATAATTAGAATAACAAGCACTTCCCTTTTCAGGAATATCAAAAATGTGAAGAGAAAGAGAAGAATTATACACTATAATTTGTGAGCTATGACACCCAACAAAAACATATTCTATATAAGCTTAACTTAATGGTTTGGGAATTTATTTTATATTTTAAATTTAACAATTTTGTATATTTCCACATATATATTCTGTGCAGAACAGTACAGAAAATGCTACAATAATGTTTTGGTTGTACCCATATTTATCTCCATTTCCCTAAATAACATGGTTTTATTCTTACTTCTTGATTTCTTAAATTTGAATATATTGATTGACATCCCAGAAAGGAAAATGAAGAGCTCTTTTTTCTTTGCATCCACACACATTGAAAGTTCCTGTCATTCTATCCTCCCAATGTATTTATAGCATAAGGTTGTACAATCTTCAGTGTTTATATTAGTAAAATGATACCAACACTATCTCTGAGCTACATAATATATTTTTCTTCCTTTTCTTCCTTTTTCTTGAAAGATATATTTTCTTTTGGAAACTAATAGTTGCCTTGTATTGTGGTTGCATAATTTTGTATGTAGTTGTTACTAGCTTAGCTACTTCCCCTAATTGTCTAAATATTCTTTAATGCATTCAAGCTTATCAGGAATTTTAAGGTCTTTTTCAGAATTCTCTACAAATTGGACTGATTACTCTTCAAGCCGGGTGCATGTGGGTCATTTGAGGATACCTTTGTCTCTGGTTTCTCTGTTTCCTGCGTTATGTTTCCTCCTCTGTTCTAGTTTACACCCTTCCCTTTGGTATAACATATATTTCAGGAGCTAATTGAGAAACAGATGCTAAGAAGTAAACTTCTGGGTTTTTGTGTATTTGAAAAAGCCTTTACTTAACTGATAGTTTGGCTAATTATAGAATTACAAGTTAGATATGGTATTCCTTTGAAAGTTTAAAGGCATTCCTGCGTTGCTTTCTAGCTGCTTATGTTTCTGTTCACAAATCTGAAATGCTCTCTTTTCAACCCTTTGTATATGACACGAGTTTCTTCTTTCTCTGAAAGCTCCTTGTATCTTCAATTTCTGAAAACTCTATGGTACTGTTCCATTGCTGAAGACCTATTTTAATCTGTTGTGCTGCGAACTTGGCAAATCCCTTCAATCTGGAAATCCACCTGAAAAGTATTCTTGAATTTTGAAATATTGAATTTTATGTTTCGATGATTTGCTCTCCTCCATTTTATTTATTTCTGGAACTCTATTACAGTTACTCATGTTGAATGCTGAAATTCTTGATCCTCTACTTTGCCTATCTTGTCTTTTAAAAAAAAAAAGATTATTTATTTGAAAGTGAGAGTTACACAGAGAGAGGAGAGGCAGAGAGAGAGAGACAGAGAGAGAGGTCCTCCATCCGCTGGTTCACTCCCCAATTGGCTGCAATGGCCGGAGCTCCACCAAACCGAAGCCAGGAGCCAAGAGCTTCTTCCAGGTCTCCCACGTGGGTGCAGGGGCCCAAGGACTTGGGCCATCTTCTACTGCTTTCCCAGGCCATAGCAGAGAGCTGGATTGGAAGTGGAGCAGCCAGCGCCCATATGGGATGCTGGCGCTTCAGGCCAGGGCGTTAACCAGCTGTGCGACTGTGCCGGCCCCACCTGTTTTATCTGTATTTTTTTATTTATCGTATCTTCCAAAATTTTAATTGTTTTTCTGTAATTTCTTTTTTGTTCCCCAGGGATGAGCTAAGAAGTCTCCTGCTGGGGTATGAATGCCTGGCTGCTGTCATTCTGGATCTGACTGTGCAGGGAAGACTGGTGGTTTCTCCGTTCAGTAAGTCAACATCCACTTATTTCTCTGATTTTCCAAATGCTCCTTGTGCCTACCACTTCTCAGTTCTCTTTCTGGCCCCAGAAATTGCATCTCCATGCTTCTCTACCCAGCTCTGTGCTTTAGGAATGTGAACTCTATGAACTTTATCAATCAGGACTGGCTTTAACCAGTGGAAAGAGTGTACTCCTGCATTAAAGGGCACCGGGTGTTCCTTTCATACAACCACAGGTCTCCCTGGGTTCCAGGTCATGGATCTACCCCCATACCCTTTCATCCATGTTACCTGTAGCCACCTCTCGCTCTTGCTAGCTCTGAGTATTTCTCCATCCCATGGATGTTGGTTTCCCCTTGTAAAATTAAACAAAACAGAGATACATAGTTATGTGTAAAATGGAAATGCTTTAAAATAATGATATAAGAACTTGAAAAATATATGATAACAAGTGTTTGGAGATGATTATTCTCAAAGAAGAATTTATTTCTTTACAGGGAATTCATCAAAAAATTAAATAGTAGTTTATTTTTAAGTGCATTTAAAATATTATTTCTTTCATAGAATTTAGCTATCCATAACTTGATACAGTATACCAATTGATTAAGGTAAACTGAGAACAAAGAGTATTAACAAAGGTGGGAAACTTTCAAATTGAGGAAGAGGGCCTATAGATTTTGAATACTGCCGTGGAAGTATTTATGTTGTCCGAAGACTCTAGTTCTTCTATCATGTGGTATATAAATCATACTGTTGAATTCTTAGGATAAGTGATGTTAGTGCTATGAAGAATCAGTTTAAGAGGATGCAGTTTTCTACCTCTAGGGCATGTCTAAAAATCCAATATGTTGAACACTGGAAAATACAACTCTTTTACCTTGAAGGCTCTTCATTTTGTCATTGCTGATTATGATCTGTCTGGGTTGGCTGTCTTGGTCAGTTCAATTATCCCAAGAACTATCTCATTACTGGAAATACTCACATGAGATGGGAAGCTCTTTTATTCCTGTGCATGTTGAACATTTAAGCCTTGCTATTGGGTGGGACTATTGAACTCTGCACTCTGCATTGCTCACAGACTATATCATCAAGAATGTATTTCAGAAGTCACATGTGAATTGAGTCATAGAGACAGGAATTGATAAAGAAAAGCATATAGCTTAAATATAATACCTCATCTGCCAAAGATATTTCATTTCTTAATCATTGTATGAGACACCTTTTACATAGTGATCAGATTTGGACTAAAAGGTTCAGCATTTCAAGACTGCTTATTATAGTAATTATTCTCTTAAGTAAAGGTAATAGGGAAAATATCCATATCTAGTGGCATAGGAAAAATACAGTGGTGATTAACCTTAGAAATTTCATTGATAAATTTTCTTATTTCCAGTGTCTCCATGAACTTTATTACTCAGTGTGTGGTGTGTCAGTCAGCAGCTTGGGCATCAACTCTAAAATTGGTAGAAATGCAAATTCTCAATACCCTTTCTGGGCCAATCGAATCAGAATAAGCATTTTAATAAGACCCTTAAGGGGAGCAAGTCAATATTGAGAGAGATATGACTAAAGCATCGTCTGGTAGTCATTGAAACCTTGGCCTCTCATCTCACTCAAGGGGATCATGTAGCGATCTAGTGCCTTCCAAAATGCATCTTGCAGCACAGAATATTTTTTTGCATTTAATCTGAAAGTTATATGGACTAATCTTTTAAAAATATTTATTTGAAAGGCAGAACAACAGAGAGAGGGGGAGGGGTGGAGAGAGACAGACAGAGACAGGGATACCGAGAGAGGAAGAGAGAGATCTTTTCATCCTCTGGTTCATATCCCAAATGACTACATTGGCCAGGGCTGGTCCAGGCTGAGGTCAGGAACGCTGATCTCCATCTGGATCTCCCACATGGGTGGTAGGGACCCAGATACTTTGGCCATCTGCTGCTGCCCTCCCAGCCACTAGTGGGGAGCTGGATCTGTAGCAGAGCAGCTGGGATGAAAGTGGCACTGTGATATGTGATGCCTGCCTTGAAAGTAGCAAAAGCAGTGGCATCACAATGCCAGCCCCTCTATGGACTGATTTTTAACTCAAAGATGTGCCAAGAAGGAATTAATGATAACATGGTAGGTGATGTTATCACATGAAATTGTGTAATTGAGGGTTGCAGGTGGGAGGGACGTTATGGGGGGGAAGCCATTGTAATCCATAAACTATACTTTGGAAATTTATATTTATTAAATAAAAGTTAAAAAATAATAAAAAACAAACAACTTTCTGAATGAGAAAATTTCCTCCATATCTATCTTCCTTTATAGCAACGCATCCATTTTCTATATATGATACTGGCTTTCTTCCTAAGTGAAGTCTAAACTTTCCCCTTCTCTGGAAGATACAGGTCATCTCATTCAGGACCTGAGAAGGTCAAATGAGTTGCTTCTCCCTTCACCTATGTCTAATATGAAGTGCTTGAGACGATCTAATTTACATTGTACTTACAAACAACTATAACACCTTTTAAACGTACTATAGAATGGTTAATGAAATTTTTTGAGAGAATTGTTTTTCCTTACTTTGTTTCACCTTTATATGGAATCCCCGAATATCTAAAATATGCTGGAAGTGATTAGCAGTGATTTCTCTTACAGCTTGAGCCCCCTTTGCTTCAATAAACACATTTTGGTTGTCTACTGTATACCATGAGTAAGAATACAAAGTCTAAATCCCAGTCCTAAGGTTGTTGACAGCCTCTTGTGGAAGGATGTCACAGCTATCATTACAATGCCAAATTATAAGTACTATAATAATATTGGCAATGCGTGATGGAAAATAGAAGAGGGGGCTAATTCTGTCTTGGGAATCAGAGACCGATTCATAAAAGAGAGGACTGCTTTTGGCATCTTGTTTATATATGATTTATGTTACAAATATGCACAAATGTTGGCTTGTGTTCTCAAAAATGCGGTTGAATGAAGCTTTAAATAGAGCCAAGTGTAATATCCTAATATTGGCAAGTTTGATTAGCCTGAACTTGGTCCAAAATGTAACTTGATGGACAAGATTAGATGAAAATGACCTTTGCTATGATTATAAAAGTAAATGGTATACTGAATAGATATGATTGATTACCATGAAAATATTCTATGCAAGCCCTGAAGAGTTGTAATATTTGTTGCAGTGGAGACAGAGGGCATTAGTGGAATAATCACAATGATAACAGCTGACATAGGCATTTACGAAGTGCTTTCATACTCATTATCTTGTTTAATTTTCGCAACAACCCGCGAAGTGGCATTATTTGCATTGCTTAGTTGAAAAAATTGTCAAAGAAGGTGACAGACTCTGGATAACCAACCAAGTCTTTAAAACTGTAAGATTAATATTCTTGCTACTCAAATCAGAACTTTCCATCCTCCATACAAGTCTCTGTCCATTCCAAAGAATATGCAGAACCTTTCCCTCTGCCCTGGAGGCACTGCATTAGTAAGGTTTTCTGAAAATCTGGTTGTGAAAATGTGCTTTGTCTCTAAAACAGAAATTGTTTCTCCTGCCTTTGCACACTCCTTCTTCAGAACTCTTCTTCAGCACTCTGGAGTACCCAGCGCAAGCTGGTGTTTGCAAATGGGAGATAAAATCAGAGTGCAATTGAATCTCCAAGTTTTTAATATGAGCATTAGTGGATGGTAGGACCTTTAAGGAAGATAAAGAATAATATAGGGTCTGATTTGGGGAACTACACTAAGGTTGAAAAACTAGAATGATGGCCACACCAAGCCTCAGTTTTGTGACTTAGGGTAACCTGGACTGGTTTAAGTAGTATGAGTCATCAATAACAGGTTGGGTACACCATACAGTGGCTCTTCTGGAAGTGAAAATCTTGGGTTTTAGTTGGACATTGCTCACCTCAGTTGTAGGAAGACCTGACTAATGCCTGGAAAATAAATGCAGTTGGAGGGATTGGCTCTCCCAGAGGAGAGCAGCTTCGCAGCTAACACTCTAGTTAATATAAGGAAACTAAAAGAGAAATCAGAAACTAAGGTGCAGACCCATTCAAGTGGCCTTGGATGCCATCGTAAGGTCAGGGACAAAGCTTCAGTCCAATGACATGTTGAAATCCTATTTTTAAAGGCAGGTCCCAATGCACAATATGGGTTCAAAATGGAGGGTTCCTCCTAGATATGTCAGGATTATAAGGAAATTATGTGTTTTTAATTTTTTGAGGTAATACTTTTTGAAACACTGCTGGCATTACTTAAGACTGACCAAACAATCAGTAATTCCAAGTCTACAGGTCTGAGAGAAACTGGGGAATGTATAATTAGTTCTATCTGCTATGAATGGGTTATCACATATGTTAATAAATACCATTTATATCCTATTTTGACTTACTAGAAATATAGCCCATTGGCAGATATCAAATTCATCCAGTTTAATATGTAGTTCTATGGTGTTATCTGTGGTAGACAGAATAATGCACCCACCTCCCCCCAATAAAAGATGTCCCTGTCTGTCTGAATCTCTAGAACGTGTGAAGATGTTACCTTTCATGACGAAAGGATTTGCCAATGTAACCACGGTTAAGGACCTTGAGACAGGGAAATGATTCTCGTGGATCAGATCTAACTCTCGAGTCCTTAAAATTCTTTTCTGAGTTTTTTCCGACTGAAGTTAGAAAGAGGGCAGCAAGATAGTGATTCAGTGCCCCATTGCTGGTTTTGACATGGTAAGGAGCTTGTACTTAAGGAGTTGAACTTTGGGGCCAGCACTGTGGCATAATCGGCAAAGCCACCACATGTGACACTGCCATCCCATGTGGGTGGCAGTTGAAGACCTGGCTGCTTCACTTCCAATCCAGCTCCCTGCTAATGCACCTGGGAAAGCAGTGGAAGATGGCCCAAGTGCTTGAACCCATGCATCCATAGGGGAGACCTGGAAGAAACTCTAGGCTCTGCTTCAGCTGGTTTCAGACCCGGACATTATAGCCATTCAGAGCCATTTGGGGAATGAATCAGTGGATATAAGATTCTCCCTCTCCCTCTCTCCCTCCCTCTCTCTCTTTTGCCCCCCCATAACTTTACCTTTCAAATAAATAAATAGACCTTTAAAAAAAGGAACTGAATTTGCCAAGAACCATAATAAATGAAGAAATGTGTCTTTCATTAAATTCTCCAGAAAAGAACATAGCCCTGCTAATGCCTTCATTTAAGCCCAGTGAAACTCATGTTCGGCTTCTGACCTATAGAACAGCAAAATAATAAACTTGTATTGTTTTAAACCTCGTTCATGGTAATTTGTTAAGGTAACAATATAAAACAAGTACAATCTTGCTGAATGATCTGAAGATTTCCAGATTATAAACCCTTCATGGGCAGCAATTTCTATTTTTTTCATTGATATATAAATGATAATCAAAAAATTGATGTAAATGTACATTACCTTTTAATTCTATTTTAATTAGCTTTTTCAGTTATCTTTGTGTGGCAAGTACTTATGACAATGCCTAGGAAACAGTAGGTATTGTTTGAAT